GGTGGTGTTCGGTCGCTTCGGCTACGTGATGCTCAAGGCAACCTCATGCACCCCCATGCTGAATGCCGCATGCTGTCGCAGTATGCTGCCGAGCTCTTCAAGGCCCGCAGGGAACAGGATGTTTATTGCCCTAAGCTTTTGCCTTTGTCACCTGGTCTTTTCACTCCTGATGCCAGATGCCTGGGAGTCTGCGCTACGCTCTCTTCGGGGGGGCAAGGCAGTCCCGGCGGGACAGCCCGCCATCGATGTGTGGAAGCGGGAGACCAGAGTGGTGGCCAAGGCCTTGAGTAGGATCTCGATTGCTGCGCTTTGTGGGGATGAACCTTACGTTCCAGAGGAGTGGAGTGAGATGCAGTTTGCTTGGCTGCCGAAAGTGGGGAAATCCCCCAGTTCCCCTAGCAACCTTAGGAGCATTGGTCTTATGGCAGCAGACACCAAGGGGATGCTTGTCATTCTGCGCGAGGCTGTGAAGCCCGTCATTGTGCAGTACATGTTTGATGCTCCGCAATACGCCTACAGGCCCGGGGCGTCCACGGCGGATGCGCTGCTCCGGGCATCGTATCATTGCTCCTCTGTGCGTGCTCTTCTCAGTCAGCATCAGCGGGACCATACCTCCAAGATTTTGGGCGTTGGGGATGTGGACTTGGTCGGGGGCATGATGATAAGCATTGACCTTCGGAAAGCCTTTGACAGCGTATCGCATGCAGAGTTGTACCTTTCGATGCTGGAAGCCTCAGTTCCTCAGGATCTTGCTTCGGTGATTCATGTGCAAACGCAGTGTTCTGTGCTCCACGGGGGTGCCCGTGAATCTAATGGGATGAGTCGTGGTCTTCGCCAAGGGTGTCCTGTTGCTCCGATTCTGTTTGCTGCATGGTCGGTGAGGACTTTGCGACTTTTTCGGGAGGCACTTCCACAAGGCTCGGACAGAGACTGCTATACCATGTTCGCAGATGACCTGTTGGGCTGCTGGGAGTTTCATTCTATTGCCGACTTCTTTTCTTCCCTTCGGGATGTTAGAACGGTTTTCTTGGTTCTTGCCGGTTTGGGGATGGAAATCAACTTCCGGAAAAGTGTGGCTGTGCTGCGACTTCGGGGCTCCGCGGTGGCTCGCGTCTCCAGGCATGCGCTGGTGTGGCGTGCGGATGGGCAGTATCTTCGGGTGCGGTCGGATCCCCAAGACTTCTATATTCCTGTTGCATCGACCATGCCGTACCTGGGGGCGATACTTGCGTATGATAATTATGAACTGAAAACCTTCCGGAACCGGGCCCAGTGCGCGCAGATGCGGTTCCAAGAGCTTCGCAAGGTGCTGCGCTCCAATGGGGCGCTTTCTGCGCGCCATCGCCTGCGGCTGTACAAGGCCACGGTCTGGCCGTCCTTGTGGTATTCATTGAGCTCGATTGGGGTCACTGGTGAAGTTCTTCGTGGTGTTATCTCGGTGCTTTCAGGTCATCTGCGGAAGGTTCTGCGCATCTATGAGGGTGGCATCACCAACCAGGCGGTGATGGAACGTGCTGGTATGATTCCTCAACAGTTCTTCACTGCCCAGGCTGAGCTCAAGGCTGGGAGCATTGATGCGGACCCGTTTCGGAGCGCGGAGCCGCGGAGCTCAAGCAGCGGGAATTGCAGCGCGGCAACACATTGAGCGCGACTATGGCATCGGTCACTGAGGTCCCCCTGAGCTCGTGCTCTCTGGTGCGGGTTGGTGTCAACGAGGCTGCGTGTATCCCTTGTCATGTGTGCGGGCTCTACTTCAACTCCCAAGAAGGGCTCCAGATGCACATCTCTCAGCAACATGCGGATATTAATCAGTCTGCCAAGCTTGCGTTGAACAAGGCGCTTCACTCGCTCTTCGGGCTTCCCTTCTGTCGCTTTTGCAGGCAGCGGCTTCATGACTGGAACTCGCTAGCCAAACATGTGTCCATGGGCATGTGCATGCGTGTCAAGAGTCTATGGTTGCTGAAGGGATGAGGGAGCCTGATATGCTAAAAGTCATTTCCGAAGAAGAGCAACGGCACCCTCCGACTCCTCCAGACGGCGCCGCCGCGCAGGACACCCTTCAGGAGGCGGTTGGCCGGGCGCTAACAGTCTCTCCGGATCAGCTTGGTGCTCGGGGGGCTGAGCTTCGGATTCTCTCGAAGTCTCGAAGCATTGTGCTCTTTGCTATCAGCTGGTGAAGGATCCCTCCAAGATCAAAAAACACTGGCAGGACTCTCATGCGACTGAGTGGCGGGCTGCAGCGCAGGAGGCTGTCTCTGAGTCCAGGAGTCTCTTGGCTACTTTCTCCACGCCGTGCTCTTTCTGCGGGAGCGTGGCAAAGAAGGCTGCGGATCATTGCGTTAAATGCTCGGCGCTCTTTCAGCTGCTTGCGCATCGGATTCTAGTTCGGGGCGGATGGCAGGGACCCGGCGCGCAGCGAGACCTCCCTCAAGCAGTGGCAGGTTCCGGCAGCCTACAAGCAGTTCAAGCCTGAGCTTACGTCGATCGGGCGACATCTGACCTTCAAACAAAGCAAGTCGTCACAGGAGCAAGGCGCTCCGCCCAGTACCGCTGCACCGACACCGCAGAAGCAGCTGACCCGATCAGTTGGTTCCTATGAACGTTTGGTGTGCAGCGGGAGCACAGGTGACTCGGCGACCTCCACTGCCAATACTGGCAACGACTGGGTCGGCCGCATTGTGTTGCAGAACTCCAACAATCTCTGCTACCTGAATGCCGCTGTTCTCTCTCTCTCTTGCACTGTTCGGACTTTGTGCTGTCTGCTCATCGGGGAGTACAGGCTCTGCGTCGCATTGGCGCCCTGGGGATGTCGGCCTCTCGAGGTGTCCTCCTTACTGCCCAGCTGCAGGTGCGGTCGTTGCTTAGGTCATGGTCCTTTGATGGTCGCCAGCATGATGTGGCCGAGTTCGCCGCAGTTCTCCTTCGGGGTCTGGGCCTTGGTTTGGTGGCTTGTGGGAAGCTCGTCGACAGGAAGATGATGGAGTCCGTGCCTTGAATTCAGGTGCCCTACCGCTACTTTTGCCACCAGATTCGAGGGAGTGTATGCTGCAGGATTGTATACAGGCTTGACACATTCAGGATTGCATGCATGCTCTATCTGCTGTTCCACCTCCTGGACTCCTTCTGCTACAGGTGGCTCGCCATCAGGAGGGCTCCAAGAGCTTCGTTCCGGTTTGGCCGGATTCGGAGGTGCGACTCCCCTTCTTTGGCAGTGAGCTTGCTGTGGAGTGGCTTCGATATAAGGTTATGGCAGTGGTGGAGCACCACGGGGAGCAGGTCAGTTCTGGCCATTACCGTGCTGTTCTCAGAGGGCTTTCGGATTGGTTGCATACGGACGATGGCGTGTCTGCGACAGTGGTCTCTTTTGATCGTGATCGTGCTGAGCTTTCATACTTGTTCTGGGCAGTGAAGGCTCAAGAGTCGGAGGTGTCGGACGCTGGTCTGCCGCAGCATTCTGCGGCTTCCTCGCTTTAGTCTGCGATGTCCACGGAGGAGGCGCCGGATGCGAACATGCTCGAGGGCGAGCAGGAGTGGGACTTCTACACGAAATACTGGCCCAGTGGGCCGGGCATTCCGGCGCCTCCCTCCTCGGAGGGCTCCACTGCAGAGCCGTCGGGAGCGCTTGAGGAGCGTGAAGCCAAGGCTGCGAAGCTTCTGGATTCCAAAGGCGGGCAAGGACGTGGCAGCGGAGATGGCAAGGCTTTGCGGGGAACGGTGGGTCCGACCAAGCGGCTCCCAAGGGCACTCAGGGGGCGTCAGCAGCGGGACCTTCCATCGCAGTGGCGCGGCGGAGGTGGCGGTGGAGGTGGCGGGGGTAGACGGGGTAGATCGGGCAACGGGAATGGCGGCCGGGCTTCGTGGGGCTCGAACTGGCGTGGCAGACGGCGATGAGTGGTCCCTCCGGAAGGGGGTGGAGGATCTTAAGTATGCAGTTTCGCTGATGCAGCGCTTGATGCTGCGCCATGAGGATGCCTCCATCTTGGCGCGTATTGAAAGCAGCTTCGTCCTTCACTTCAAGCTCAATGTGCCGGCGTCTGTGGCGCCGATGCTGTTTACCTCCGCGGTGGCCTGGCGGAAGATCAAGGCTGAGGAACCGCAGCGCTTGGATCGCCCGATGCGCTGCACGTTACTGGTTTGTCTGTTTGCAGAGCTCAAGGAGCGCATGACCAAGGTCGTTCAGGAGCCGGAGCGGTTGGAGGAGATGGCCAGGATGGGTTGGCTGGCGGTGGGACCGCCAGTGGTGTGGCACTTCATGCGCTGGGATGCGGCCAAACTGACAATTTTCGCTCGGACAAAAGCGCCTGCAAGAATCTCAAGTCTTCGGCTGTACAACTGAAAACGGAGCTCAAA